TTTAAAAATTTTTTTCTTCTTCCTTCCAGAGGTATTTTAGAGGAGCAGCGGCTCCTTCTGATGCTCTTCCAAACCCTTCACTCGTCAGCCCTTGGCTGTCTCTCATTGTGTAGAGAAATAGCACCTTGCTTGGTATTTAAAATGTCACCTTGCCTCATAAGGTGTACGAATTGACCTTATTTCAATGGATGTTCAAAATAAGCAAGTTAGTGGTTGTTCAGTCAATTAATCTAAAATCTGATGCCTCAAGCTGGCGAAATAAGCCCTTGAGCTCGTGGTGATGAAGATACTGGCACCTTGTCGCATTGTAACAGCTTGGCGTTGTTGGGAGGCTTGGGATCTTTATAGGACACTTCAGTCCGCTGGATCGCTTCACCAGGGTTAAATTCCAGTACCGAGCAATTTGATCCATTTTAGCTTGATTTTTGCTGAAAGAATATCCTGGCACTTCTCCCTTTTGAGTCTCTTGATAAAGGATTTTCATTCCTTTGGTGGGAACAGCCTCCAGGAGAGGGCTAGTATTAGCTGAAATGTCCAGTAGAGGAGGGGAAGAGGAGGCTCAGGCTCAGGCCTCGGTTTGTTGCGACTGCTGGAAGCAGCTGGCTTGTTGAGAAGACCTTCCAGAGGAGGCAGTGACAGCAAGGAAGGGCATGCTCACCTCTTGAATATTAGCTTCCAGAAAGCTGACAGCACATCTCTGCGAGGACCACCCTGCTAGTTGGAGAAAAGTCTGAAGTCTGTTGATTTTGTGCGAAGAAGGTAGATTCTGGTTTTGCCTGTAAAAAATTCAAGTGTTGAATGGCATGACTTTCATTAAAGTGAATTCTGAGGGCTGGATTGAAAACTTATACATTTGTAGTGACGCTGTCTACCTTATGTTTACAAAGATGGTTCTTCTGGTTTAAAAAATTCAGGTTTTGTTATGTTTTTGTGGGTTTTTTTGCTTCTGCCTGCCAATTTATTTTTGGTTTATTATGAGAATTTCTAAACTTCAGGAGGAAAAACCATGGACTCAACATGCGTTTGTGCCATAAATGTATTGATGAAGAAGTGTTTAAGTGATCTGCAACACTGAAATTTATATATTGTTCTTTGAAAAGTTTTAGGTATCTTGCAGTTTGTAATGGGAAGAACAAGCCACAGTGTACTGATCCTTCTGTTCTTTGCCATTGCTTCTTGTACTAATGTTGTAAATGGCTTTTGAAAAGTATTTGTTTTGGTAAAACATTGTTCTTGTTACAATGTGATAATACAGCATAGAAATCCTTTTTTGTTTTGTAAAGGAGGAGCTCAGAGAACTACGTGAAGAACCAACTGATCCTCAAGCTCAGCAAGAAATAATTAACAGCATTGAAGAAGTTTATTTTTCCAATGATTCCTTTGATATTGTGAAGTATGAGTTAGAGGTAAGTTGTCTTCTTAAAAGAAAAGACAGTAATATAACAAAAATGAAGGTCAAAAGTATGCTTGTTTCAATGAGCTATTTTTTGTTTTGTTTCTTGTATCTTCCATTAATGTAAAACTGTACCCTCCCACCTCATCTTGCATTTGTGTGGAGCTTCTGGCATATCGTCTTGATATGGAGTCTCTTTTTTAACATGGTAGAATTACTATCAGTTGTGCTAACAGGCGCTTTATAATTTAAACTATTGTGAAAAAGGCAAAATATTTGGAGGGGAAAAAAAAATCCGTTCTATATTTTGGGTATTTTTTTGGCAAACTGACTGAGACATAATAATTTCAATGATTAGGGGGGTTGTGTGTATACATATATGGCTTAAAATAAGGTAACTTTGAGGTAATTATGATATTATATGATGTGATTATAATAACAGTCAACTATTTCAGTATCCATCATTTGAAATAATGGATTAATTCTACAAATTAGATTGCAGAAGCAATAATCACGTTTCTTTAATGGAATTGATTGGTTAGTTAATACTATATGTGTATTTAAGGTCCGTTAATTTCTCACTGAATTTAATTTGTTGCTTACATGCAGAGGCTTCCTCCAGTACTTAGTCTTCAAGAACTGGAAGAGTACAGAGACAAATTAAAACAACAGCAAGCTGCTGTAAGTAAAGTTGTTTCCTCTGTACCCTCAGGCAATTTGTTGTATTTTCTATAAGTCTAGCCAGAAGCGTAACTGAAAAAATTTTGATTTCTTAAACACATTAGATATTAAGCATTTTTTCTTTTAATATTATGTTGTGTGCTTTTATAGTCGAAAATCATATCAGTAAATCACAAAATCGTATGAAATCATAGAAGTAAATCTTGGTGATAAGTATTGTAACAAGGAGCAGATGTGCTAACTATTTGTTTAGAAACTCAATTTTCTGAATGTTCAGCTTTTCCTATGTATTGCAAGAAAAGTAATGTTCAACGTAGCACTGAATGGTGTGTTAATATCTCTTTTTTTGAGGGATTTCTGGCAATGTAAAACATAAAACGTTTTAAAAACTCTTTCCTTAGAGTTCCTGTTTTCTCTTATTTTTCATTTGCCAATTTATTAATCATCCACAAGGGTTTCTAGTGAATATTGGTACAGAGTTATTATGTAATAAAACAAATGAAATGTAACAATGAGTAATAACTGTAATTTATGGGGGTAAATCAGAGTTGCAGCTTCTGAAAAGTACTTGTTACATTTCAGGCTTTTTAAATTATTGATTCATTACTCTTTTAAAGATGAATAATATGGTACAGGGAATGAATGTATTAACTGTGGCATTTGGAGAGTATCTGCAAGTAAAATAACAGTAATAATCCTAATTCATGTCTTTAAATGAATGAAATGTACAGAAGGAGAATATAGAATTGCTAACAATACATAGAGAACAAGTTCCTTCTGCCTAAGACTGCTTTTCCCAGAATAAACCCGTGAAATTTTGTGAAGTATTAGTGACAAGCTGAGCAAATGAATGTTCCGTGTTTCTCACCAAGAGGTATAAGGAAAGAATTTGAAAGTGGGTGGCGGTTTTTGGTTTTGTGTTGTTTTGTTTTTCTTTAAAGTTTAAGAGGACATCTGGTGGTGACCTAGTTTTGCAAGGAAATACGCTCAAGGCTGAGAGACAACTTCATTGAGATATGCTGTATAATTCTAATACCTGTTATCAATGTCTTGGCCATTCTGCCTGGATGGTGGGAACCGGCTGCTAGGGGAGTTGGTTTCAGTGCACGGCTGCTGCTGAAACATGAACTGGAAGGTGCATACGGCTAACGAATAATAGGGGTGAGAACTGGGCGTGTGGTTTCCAGAGAATATGGCCCACATGTGTCTTTCTTCTAGAAAAACAAAACCAAAAACTTTCAAAGCCAAAACTTTTGACGAGAAACATGTGTCCAATTCTTCCCCACCATCCCCCCAGTCAGGATTAGGGCTTTCTTGTGTCTTCTTTAACCTAGTCTAAATATGATTCTGCTATAGAAAGGAATTGTTGCTTGGGTTTGTTGTCCTCCTTGGGCATGTTCCAAGTTGCTAGAATTTCTTGTACGCTGTATATCGTGTCCTTGTGTCATATTTCCACGTGGAGTGTGAGAGACTTATTTTTTTTCTTCTCCTGTCTCAATTATTGTCCATTTATTTTGTGATATGTCACTTAGATTACTGTCTGTCTTAAGGACATTAGTGTCCTTCATAGAAGACAGTACTGCAGAATGTTGTATGTTCTTAGTTCAGTCCTAAAAATGCCTTAATACTAGTTGTGAATAGATTATGAGATAGAGGACTCACAATGTCTGTTGACAGATCACACAATATCTCTGCTTTTGAAAAAGAATAAATACTGCCTTTTTCACTTCAGTGCCTGTATCTATAGCTGACATAGACTTTTACAATAGTGGTTTAGAGATAATTCCAACTTCTAAATTTCTGTAACACAAGTCACTCAAATGAGTGTGAATTACAGGTAATAGAGCTCTGATCTTCCACTTCTCACTGACTGTTACCATCTGCTTTTGCACAGCTGGTCTTGGTCATGCCTTTGTTTTCGGGGTCACTATAGACTCTCTATTTTCTGTAGTTTTCCTGTTACAGTTTTCCTTTCCATTGGATGGATTCCAACTCACTCAAGACTTCTTTAATATGTGTATCATGACAGCTTTAATTTGTCCAGTCATCTTGGTACAGACAATTTGAATTAGGAGGCTTTTTAGTTGTACGTCTGTTTGCCTTCATTTTAATTAGTAGACTGATATCCTCAGCTGTATCTTTTTTTCTTCAGGAGATGAAATATTTTTTCCTGATGTGATTAGGAAAGCAAAAATTGTTTCGGAGAAAATTGTTTGGTTCCCTCAAAGAACATTGTTGCTTGCATGCATTGATAACTGCAGCCACATTCATTGCTAGCAATTGCAAATCTGGGTTCCTAAAGTTGAGAATTAAAAAATAAATCAATACAATTGTATGGAAGATGCCAAAAGGGGTGGGACAATTTGGAAATGAATAACCTGGGATAATATTGCTCATCTAAAAGAAAGGTAAGAGAATAGCTTGGAAGTTCAGAAACGTAGTATCAGTAAGTTCAGGGAAAGAAAAAAAAAAAAAAGAATACGGCTGTTGCAAATGCTCAACAGTGTTGAGGTTGTTATTAATCAAGGGTAGCTGAGAACTTGCGAAACAAAAGAAAGCAGTGAAAAAACTTAAAATGAAACATCTTTCATTCAGGTGTACTGCTTGATGAATCCCTTTAACAGTGAAGAATCAAACTGTTAGATCTGTAGTAGGGGAATGCATGACTAGCAGGTATATCCCTGTCCTGAAGTTTTTTACTGGTACAAGGCTAGCGGAAAGAACAGGTTCAAAAAGGGAGGTGAAAATTTCACAGGATATAGACTGCGCAGAGAACAAAACTTCTTTAGAGCCCCAAGGTCACGTAGGCTTGTGTAGCTTGTGGCCTGATAACGTCCTTTTCTGTCCCAGCTCTGCTCTGGAGTGGTTCTTCTGCTGTCCTGAAGAAGGAATCTTTATTATTTATAGAACAACTAAGAGATTTTAAAATCATTTGGTGATTCTGGCCATTTTTTAATGTGGAAGGAGGAGAGAATAGCTAGATATATGTCCCTTATCCAGATTGCCAGCTGATGATATCAGAGTACTTTGAACACCATTTGTGTGCAGGTGCTCTTCCAGAGGATGGGAACTGACCTGGTGGAGCCACTGTAAGTTTGTTACAGGAACGCTCGCTGAAGATCCCAACTTTGTGCTATGTTTAACTAAGCAGTCAAATATATGAAAACCTCCTCATCTCTCTTTCCCAGTAGTGCCTTGTGGGCTGGCTGGCTGTCACAGCCAGTTTTATTTTATTTTAATTTCTGTTCCCCAAGAAGAATATAGAGCAATCCCAATAATTTCATTATCATGTTTGAAAACGTTATTTGAAATTATTTTCTTAAATATTTGTGGTCCCTGCTGAAAAACAAAACAAACCACACTATTCTCAAGCTTGCGTTTATATGACTGTTAGTGTTGCGTTTTTTTTTTTTTTTTTTTAAGCTTGTGTGTTTGCGCACAAGAGCCTGATCAAGGTAGCAATGCCCATTTGTAAATTCAGTACAGACAGCTGGTCTCAGTAGTATTCCACTTACTGTTAGTGCAGAACAATGGAGAAAATTTTAAAATATGCATGTTCTGTGTGCTAAAGAAAGAGTATAATGTGCACAGGGTGAATATTCATTTTGACAGGGATTTTATTTAATACAATATGAGTCTGAAAGGTAGGTGTCCTTATGGCTTTCTTAGATCTGTGTGCTAGATGGTTAACTTAAATTTGTACCGTAGCAGTACCACAAGCAGAATATAAGTAGTGTCCCATATTATTTTTATTTTCTATTTCTATTTTAGCATGTTCCTTAACAAGCAGAGAGGCAAGGGATTAATTTAAACATGGCCACTAATTCCTAGATGGAACTGTAAACGTTTTTCTTATCTTGCTCTTAAGGAAAACTGATTGTCATTTTTAGGATTTTTTACCTTGTTGTGACATATTTATTAATAAATTTGAAAACTACAGAACTAAATGATACAGGATCACTTTAGTTTAGGGGTGGCCTACTTAATTGAGATTGCTATCTATCACATGTAATATTCTTCTTTTTAAGGTATCTAAGAAAGTTGCAGACTTGATTCTTGAAAAACAGCCTGCATATGTTCAGGTAAGACAACATTAACTTTTTCAGAGTAAACCGCTCCATTTTGTGCTGTTATAATGCTGCTCTTGTTTCATTAGGGATTCAATCTAGTAATTTGTTAGTAGAGATGCTAGTGCCTGGTTGGAACTAGCTGTCTATGTATGCTAAACCTGTATCTGTAGAGTGAAAAGAACCAAGGGCGTATTGAGCTGGAGGCCCTTAGGATGATAAAGGCTTTGGCATATGACCACTTTAAAAGGCTTTCTGAAAACATGAATTCACAGGCTTGATTAATACCTGTAGTGGACTTGAACAGGAGCTTCTTTAGTGCGTGTGTTTAGTAATGGTTTCAGGTCTTTTTCCATAAGAGAAAACAGCAATGACCTTTCTGAAGAGCACTTAACCAGAAACCTGCCACTAATCTCAGGCAGTTGTGAGAAGAAAGCATCTAAGAGAAGACTGAGCTGGAAATAGAGCCTCAACATGTCAAAGATCTCCGAGAGCAAAACAAAGCAAAACTGCTTTAGCTGCTTGCAGTAGAATATTGGCACATCTTCTCTCCTTGCTCCCAAAACGTAACTGGAACAGCTGTCATAATGATTCTCTAAAGGTGTTTTTTTCCTACCCATTTATTTTTAATCATGCCCCTATACATTTGGTCAGCTCTGCCTGATTTTATCTGATCTTTCCAGGAAACGACAGTGAGAATTCTGCAAAGTGGGAACTTCGGATTGTTATCAAAGTAGTCTGAGAATTATCCTGTGGTCGATAATTCTGTGTGTGTACAGCATCTTGCATGAGCATTGTCAAACCAGTGATTTTGGCAATTCTCATTTTGGTCAAGAAGCTGGAGAGAGTGTGGGAGGGCAATGATAGCTGTGTTTGGTGGTAGAGGTCTCATTTTTTTTTTTTCCCCTCCTTTCTCCTCTCTTCTCCTCTCCTTCCTCGTTAACCTTCTTCCAGTTACATCCCTCCTTTCCTTGCATCCTGTTTCTCAGCTGATACACTGTTGCTGCAGACTAGGGCTTGTACCTCCTGGGTGTTAACCCAGGGTAGATGTCTTGGAGCTGGAATTATTTTCCTCTTTCATCCAGAGCGCACAACTTCCTTTTCTGCTCACTTATGCTCGTGGCCTATGCATCCAGCCTTAGTGACCTTGTGAGTGTCCCATCTGTGCTCTGGCATTTTGCTGGGTAGAAGGAGGAGTGCTGCTGTTTAAAGAAAAATGGGGGGGTGAGCATTGCTTGCATCATCTCCTGCAATAGCTGGTGGAAGAAAAAAGCCATAAGGGTAATATTATTTCAGTTTTAGTTAAAGGAGTCAAGTGGGAGGTTATTGCAGAAGGAGGCTGGTTAAGTGCTACAGTGGTCATGTCTTCATAAGATAGCGTAGAGGGGGACAGAAAGAGTAATTGTACAGTATCCAATCGTTCTGGTGTAGTTTTGCTGTTGTGCATGTTCGGAATTGATGTTGAGTGAGTACTGCTTTTTCTGAATCCAGTAGCTTCACTTTGAAAACCCCCTCTCAATGCATAATAGTACTGTGGAGAATGTGCTTCTTGTATTTTGCAGTGTCATGTTGATATTCTTATCCCAGCAACATCTTAGTGAGGAGCACATGTTTTATACCAAGAAGTTCTTTCAGATGTTCCAAAGGGACAGTTAAAAATCCATCATGCCAGTCAGAATCTTTTAAAAACATTTCTCAAATGCATATTTGCCTGATTAAGTCAATAATCCTTCAGTGTTACTTAGGGGACACAGGCTTGCACAGTTATTCTTGTCAGTAGACTTATCAGAGATTTCTGGTGAGCATTGTAGGACTCACTTTCCCACTACAGGCACTACTGTGGGCTGAGAGGGGCATAGCACAGACACGGGGCAAGGGATTTACCGTTTTCCCTTCTTAGAAGGAAAGGCATTCTTTAGGAACAACCAATGGGTGGAAGATTGTCTTTGAGAAGAGAAAAAATGTATTTAGCCCTGAATGCTGGATGGCAGACTCCCTCTCTGGGGACCATTAGGCTGCACTCTCTCCTGGTGCCTCTCCATCCAGTCACGTTCAAAGGAGAGATTTTACAGAATCTCTACAAGAGGCGAGACTGGAATGGAGTCACTCCTTATTGTATGTGTTTCCTCATGAAAAAGGGAACGATGGCCTTTTGAATAGCTCTGACATTTGCAAAGTGTGTTTTTAGTGAGAAGCAGCTACTGAGGAAAGTAACCTTTGAATTTGGTTCCTTAAGATATTATGCATATCAGCAACTAAGCTGTCATTTATCCAAAAGCAACGTTGGTAACATAAAGGAGGGACTGGTTTTGGTGAAAGATGCAGCTCAGTGATTTGTCAGAATTACTTGCATCTTTGGAGACTGACCAGGAGCTGATCTTAAAGTGAACTAAACTTTAAACTTGTTTTTGCTTGTCATATCATTAGAATTAGATTAGTTTTCAAAGTGAAAATCTCCCTTCTCCCCATGGAAAGCACTTGATATATTTTGAAATGATGAGCAGTATTTAAAAAAAAAAAAAGTTTGTTTTTTTTTTCTTTAGTGTGGGAAGAGTGTTCACTTTTCTTCAGTGCTGTTCCTAACAAAAGAAATCCTAATAGTTATATTTGAAAATTTTATTTTTTTTAAAGGAGTTGAGATTATGCTAGGCACTTCACGAAGTCAAAATCAAGCTAAATTCAGGTCACCTGTGCTGAAGAGTCTTCAGCTGAAATTCAACAGGATACAATTAACGTTCATTATGAAGTGACATGTATTCAATTGGTAGAATACAAGTGCTTCTAAACAAGAAAATGCTGTGTGAAACATGGGGTTTTTTTGTTTTGTTTTGTTTTGCTGCTCTCTGGCATATTAAACCCTGTGCTTCTGTCCCTGAAGCTTTGATCATTCTGTTGTGGTGCATTAACGGTATAGAGATTCTAGGCTGAATGTACAGTATGTAGATGTAGAGGGTCCCACTGCAATGAAAATGGATTTCAAGTGTCTTTCTTCAGAAGAGAATTGTATTTTAAAAGATAGTTTATGTTAATGTTATGTTCCAGTGCTTAGCATATTTAAAATGATGAAATAAATAATAGATAAAGTAACTCTGCAAAGCCATTATGACATCTCAGGAGAAACTTACTAATCACTAGCCTTCGCTGGTGCGTAGCATGACTTTAACTTGTATATTTATTTAATCTATGTCTCTCTGTAGGAACTTGAACGTGTTACATCATTGCAGACTGGCCTTCAGTTAGCAGCTGTTATTTGCACAAATGGAAGAAGGTATCTTGCTTAAATAATGACAGAGATTGAAAGGGGGAAAACGTATTTAAGAAGAAATCTGTAAACCCAGAAAGTTTGCTTGCTGATATTTCCTGTTTATGTGCTGAATGCAATTAGCAATAGTAGTTAAAAGATACTGAAACAAATACCAACTGCTTTTTCTCTTGCAGCTCTCATTTTTTCAGTTGGGAGTTGTCTTTAAAACAGGAACCTTTTGAGATACACCACTGATCCACAGACAAGTTCTGCAGAAGGAAAACATACCTTCTTAGTAGTCTGTTGGTATCATCTCAGTTTCTGGGTTTCCCTAACAATGCTGACAATCTTATTTTCTAGCATGTATTTTGATGGACATGTTAGAATTTATTAGAAATAAGTTTTATTTTACATGTTGTCAAAGATTATGTTCATTTTTAACTTCTGCAGACACCTGAATATAGCAAAGGAAGGCTTCACACAAACTAGTTTGGGGCTTCTTGCAAATCAAAGGAAACGACAGTTGCTTATTGGACTGCTAAAGTCTCTGAGAACAATAAAAACACTGGTACGTACAATTATTTTGCTACTGAGCAAGAACATTTTTCTTCATTTCTGTGTAGTTATCATTTTTTTTTCTATTTATTTTTAGCAAAGAACTGATGTCCGTTTGAGTGAGATGTTGGAGGTAAGTCCCTGCCAGACTTATAATTTGAAGCTATTCTAAGTCTGCTTTTTGTCAGTCATCTTAATTTTGTCCCTTCTTTCCTTCCTCTTGCGATCAGGCTATGAATGTGTGTATCTGGTGAAATTATATTTTTATTCTTTTTTTAAATGTTGTGAGAAATACTTCATATCTAATTAGATAGCCCCTGTGCTTGGGGGGGGGGGAATGTTTCCTGTCAAAGGCTCAATCCTGCCTTTAGATCTGGGCACTGAGGCTTGAGTTAGTTCAGTAAGAGTGCTGTGGAGTCTTCTCTCCCCTCCCTACCCTCAGCTTATACTTCTTTACTGGCCTTAGCTTGATATTTGGAAGAAAAAAAAAAGTGAGATTTAGCCAATTGTTGATATACTGGGTCTGGATAAAGTACTTCTACTGGTATATTACTGTACAAATTTATATATGGGCTCCCTACTTAGTATTTTATTTGTAAGTGTAGTAGCTTCTCATTCATTGGGTTGGCTTTTCAATAGTCAGTTGTAGAAAACATTGCAGCATGCAGGCCATGACACTGAAAATTCTGCTGATACAGTATATATACTGCCTAAAAATGCAGTAGATACTGCACAGAGCAAAAATAAAATCTTGTCTTAAGGTGATTAATTGTATGAAAGACAGCTTCAGGATTTTATTGACAACTATATTTTAATCATGTAGTGTAAAAATTTTGGCTTGCTAGTTTGCCAAATATTTACAGCTAATACTGGATGGAACGTGATTATGGTAATCCCTAGTTACTAAATTTGGAAATTGAGTCTTAATAATTGTAACTCTTAAGATTCTTTGAGTTTAATTCCATCTTGGGTAATACACCTTATCTCAGCACACTTTCTTATTCTTTACTAAGCAAGCATGTATTAATTTACAGGCTGCATAAACATTGCCTTCTGCTCAGTAAGCCTTGTACAATGATTAGCTTTTCATGTCTGTGCTGTATTTTCTTGCACAGGAAATCAGCTCTTCACTGTCTACTCATAGGAGTTGTCTTGAGACAGAGGTGTGGGCGCTGCATTCACACCCAGACCCTAATGTCTGATTATCATAATTTGCAAGTGATTTTTAAAGATTAATGGCTGGAACTGCCCTTTCTGGCTAAGTGCTGTTTCAGAGCTGTGCTCAGGTCTGCTCCCAATAAGGTATCCCAGATATTGGCCAATTTATTGTCTTTACTCCAAGAAGAAGTTAGTAGCTTGGAATATGCATGAGAGCTATTAGTAGCCATTCCCAGAGGAACATCTAGATAGGATTCCCAACTAAAAAAACCTATAATAACTTACAGGGGTGAGCTGCATCTGGAGTATATTAGCGATATATGTTATGCAAGCAGGCTTTCTGATTTGAGCTCTGTTAGACTTAATGGAGCAAGTACCAGGTTTCCAATGGAGAAAGATGCAAAGAACTGTAAATGCAGCAATCATTTTAGACCAATGTACTGTTCTGTTTTCATCTAATGGATAATGTGTGTGGGTTTTTTTGTGTTTTTAATCTGTATTAGAATGCTGCTGTTAAAACCAATTTCATTTCAGAAACTTCTTTACGATAATAGCTGAATATAAATTGCCCTTGCGTTTTTACTCTTCAATCAATGACTTTGAACTTCTAGTAACAGCTTTGCATTTGAGCTCTCTGAAGCACGTAATATAACAGATGTAATTAGGACAAAAAAGGAAAGCTCTTAGTTATTAAAGAGGGTTTTCCTTCCTCCAAGAGCCTTTCTGGCCTCATATCTAATAGACCACAAAAATAGTAGTTATACCCAAGGCACTGCCCATGTTCTGTTGGCAAGATCCTGGGGTTTTACATTTTTGTGTGTATGTTTTTGTTTTGGTTTTGTGCTGGCATCTTCATGTACTTCCTGATTGATCTGTCTACCTACTGGGTATTCTTCTTATAAATTAGCACAGTAGTTCCATATTTTTTTTCTAAGGTATGTTCTTTTTGTCCTGGGGCCTTGTGTGAGCCAGTTGTCTTGAAAATCATTTCTAATTAGCTATAGAATGTGTCAAATTAAATAGTGTTTATTTGGGTATAATGTTGGAGTGTCTTCCTTGTGTCTTTTTAGGTTTTGTAAAATATGGCAACAACCTGCTAGTGCCTGAACTTACCTCTTTCCTTGCTCATGAATAGATCATATTGTATTAACAAAGGTTTGAAAGTTAACTGGGAAGATGTTAGTTGTTTTGTAATAAAAACTTTCTGATGTGTTTTGTATGAATGCATAAGGAAAAACAGCAAGTCATTTGTATAAGGTAATGTAATACATAGTGTTTTCAGATGTTGCTAACGTTGTCTGTTTTAATTCTAAACTGCTTGCACATTAAGTTCTGCAGTAGACTCTCACTCATTTTCTTTAACTTTACTGTATAGATGTAAGAGGCAAAATATTTTGTTTTTAATGTTTATACATAAGCATGCAAGCAAAAATGGGTATTACAGTGTTTGCTTCAAAAGCCAAATTAGCTTTCCATCGTATTTTATCCTAAGGAAGAGGACTATCCAGGAGCTATTCAGCTGTGCTTGGAATGCCAGAAAGCTGCCAGTACTTTCAAACACTACAGTTGTATAAGGTAAGGTGACATTGTGCAGATTTCAGCTTCTGTATGATTTTATTTGTAAATGGTATAAAACAGTGATCATAAATTCTCATTCTCTAAAGCAGCTTTGATTGAAATTTAATTTTCTGCTTAGAAAAGTAAAATTGAGGCATAAGCATATAAATAAAAGCATAAGCATCCTCAGTAGTTTCACTCCTCCATGTACCGCTACTAACCAATCTTCACAATCATAACACGATATAATCTATGTTTGGAGTACGTCATTGTTTTGTAACTGTTGTAGAATGTTGGTAGGTAAAGTTTCGACTAAGACTGAATTATACTGTACTACAACATGCAGCCTAGAGATACCTGAGCTAATTTTTTTAATAAGCAAGTTTATATTCTGGAATTAATTTACCTACAGCAAGATGGCTTGTGGAGGATAACTTACCCTGATTCTTGTCAATGAAATTAGCAAGTGCCGAGCTTCATGCTGTCATAGAGAAATTGCTTTCAGAACCAGAACTAATTCAAATATCTGCAGTTCCTAGCTTAGAAAGACTTGATGTTTCTATTGCTTTTCAGAAAGGAAAAAAAAAAAAAGAATTGAGTAAACGTTAAGTTCAAAGTCATAATAGATATGGCAATAAAGGAGTAAAATGAAGTGAATTTTGATTTTCTTTTTGTGTTGTTTTTAATTAGAATTTTAAATTTGTGGGTAAAATTCTGACATTGATTGATCTGTCAGAATGCTCTCTGACCTAGAAGGGCCAAAATCTAATGAAAACACATGCTTTGCCTCCCTCTGTCCTCTAAATGTGTGGTTTGTTGCAGCTGCAGAGTAGTTACCCATAATCCTCGATGTCAGTTTAGGATCTGCTTTTGAGGTGTAGTTGTTGCAGGATCTGAAGATGCATCAAAAAAGTATATAAAGTTAGAAAGTGTACCTGGAAATAAGCCCCTCTCTATTCTGAAGTCAGATTTCAAAGCTGCTTTTTGCTTTCTTTTTAGTTCGATAAAACTTGTGTGTGGATATAAATTGACTGTACAGCCAACATTTGCCTACATATATTAAAATTTTGAATCCCTTCCTTATATAGTAGTGAATGAAAACTATTCTTACTTATTTGAATGAGGAAAAATGACTGATTTCCCTCAGTCCTTGACAATTTAGTTGTTGAGAAGCAAGATGACTCCTGAACAACTTTGGCTCTGCTTGACTCTACCTTCTGTAGAGAGATGGGTCTTGCAGTCTCATCTATACTGTTCAGTAAGCTCTCCTTAGTATTTATTGCTCTTTCAGATGCTCTGTGGCTCGAAACATGAATCTGACTTATTCTGCATATCTCCTGCATTTTTTTTTTCTTTTGGAGAAATTAGCAACATTTATTCAGCTTGAAAAGGCAGCTTGAATTCTTAGAATCTTACAGTGCTCATCTGGAAAACCTTGCTCTTTCGAGATTTAGGTTAAATTACCCAGTTTCTTTGACTTAAATTCTGTTTTGTGTAAATGATATGAAAGTTTCTGTTGATTCACTTCAAGCTTTTATTGCAGCTTCAAAGTTTATCTCCACTACACTATGCCCAGTGTAGCAAAATTTGGAACTTAAACTAACAGTTCATGTTTTTGCCATTTGGAATATTTAACTGCAAAAGTCATACTGTTTTAAATCTGATAGCATACTGACAGGATATGTGACAAGTAGCTGTGTGGATTTACTTTGTTGTTGCACTCAAAGGGATATCCTTGCATCCAAGAAGACCATTTCTTGAAATAAAAGATGATGACAGAAATCATCATCACTGCTTCTTTATCTGAGAGAGTTTTTTGAGCTTGTTTTTGTTTGCATTGTGAGAGCAGGACATTTTAGCTGTAAATCCCAGCCCCAGTGCATACATTTCAGTCTCTGCACTGTTTTACTTGAAGAAGTCTGAGACAATATGTGTTGTATGGAATAATGTCTTACTAGCAGGGGATTGGGCTAAATGGATAAATGGGTTCTTTGCATTTCTGTTTAGGGCTGCAGTAAAAAACAGCTAGTCAAGAAAACAGACACGTGCTAGCATTTATAACATGTGCTTATATGAGGCGTCACCTTTGTATTTTACCATGAAGTTTTTACGGTATCCCTTTGGTTGTATGCTGTCCATATGACAAGAATCAGCGCCGCCTTCCTTTGTATGATCATTCTTCACATTTTTCTTGCTAGGTGGTGGTAGGAGTTGGGTGTAGCTCTTAAACAGCAGGGGATTTAAACCTTTCTATGAAGTGTATAATTTTTTTTTATTTTGGTGTATACATAATCTGAAGAGGCAAGCACTTCGGCTTCCCTGCTAAGACTTCTTTGGTTTTAAGGGTGGTTGCTTATTCTCCTTTGAAATAATAGGCTGGCTGTCTATTATTTTTGTTTTCCATTGTCTTCTTCCTAGGGAATGCTTGCATTATGTGATTCATTTTTGTTTAAAAACATAAATTAAAGTCTTTTGCCCTCTGCTTGTTGATCAGTTCTGATGTGAGTAGACTCCCTTGAAAAACCTGTAGGAAAATGTAGTGTCATAATAGGATGACTCGTCTGTTGCATTTGGGTCAAAATGTTACTTCTGTTATGTTGCAGTAATGTGCCTTCTAAAAATGCACTAATTTAGATTTGTATGGATGGGGATGCAAAAAAAAAGACTTCTAACACGTTTTTTATGAGCGAAATGAATGCCTTGAATTGAATTCTCAATTATGGTAAATGAGCTTTCATAATAATCATGTAGCCATTATGTCCAAGCACTACCTTTATAATTCTGGCCTAGAAAATATATATAGATTTAGCTGGACACTTGTAACCTTTCTTTGGAGGGTTGTATCCAGGTTATCTAACAGAACGAAAAAGGAAGGGGTGATGGGCATGTCATTTAAGTGGAGAGAACTAGGTAGGGAAGCTAGAATCTATCTTTTGATAGTTAACGTAGGCCCCTTAGGAGAAGATTCAGAGCACAGAAGTAAGTTGACTAAAATCAGGTATGGTGATTATTCCATGAAAACTCTGTGCTTTCCATGCTTGAAGCACACTACTGCAAATGCCTATTTCTTGATTGCTTCGACCCTTCCAAACAAAAACATAGTAGTTGTATTTTGTGTCTTATTTTTCTGTCTGGTCTTCTGAAATTTTTAAAGTTGATTGTTGGAAAGGAGCGGTTGTGCTTTTCTTTGTCCTAAATAGTTTCTCTTATGGTAACTATTTTTGTTAATCTTTCCATACGAAATATAGCTCAGAGAAGTGAAATGGTCGTCTTAAAAAGATTTTCTGAGAGTTGTGTAAGCTTAAGTTCTTTTTTTTCCTATAATGTTTCCGTAAGGGTTTCCTGAGCAACAAATAAAAGTTACTGTACCATAGTTCGCAAAGCCTTGACAGCCCTGACCTTCGTGGATATGTTCTACTGTAGACCACAGTGCCAAATCAAAACATGTAGAGCATGAGTTTCTTGGGGGTTAGGAGTGTCTTTGAATGCTTGGCTAAATCCTAGCAGGATGGGGTCTTGTCTGGGCCCTCCTTAACACTGTTGCATTATAAACCTAGGATACTGTGCTGCTGCAACAGATATTTTAATTTGAAGTGTTAGGACTACTGCAAATGCCTGCAGTAAGTGCCTTTCAGTAATACCAGTAGTGTGGTGATGCTTGTCTGACACAGTAACAGCAGGTTAATGATTTATGATAAATTACTATATTGTGGCTCAGTAGCAGGCAAATGTGTTTTTTTGGAAACAAGAAACTTGGTGTGAAATGTTAATATGATCAGTAGTTTTATTTTAAACTTTATTTTGCTTTCATTAATAGTGAGTTGAATTCAAAACTGCAAGACACCTTGGAACAAATAGAGGTAAGAATTAGTATATTGATGTTTAGTATATGTTAGTATTTAATCTCTAGGTATTTTCTAATACGTTATTAGCGATTACAGAACGTGCACATTTCCTTCAAATACTGTCTTTGGAATGCTATAGTCATTGCTATTCATGTAGACTTTTGTGCTGCAGTCAACCTAAATGCTCTGCAATGTGTTATCAAACTTATGAGCCCAGCTCCCCAATTGTGCCCACTTTAAGTGGTAAAGCAGTCAAATAAAATAGGCACATAACATTGGAAGTACTGAAGCAAAGGTATGCTCCCTGTATGATGATGTATGGTGGTTTTCAGTCCATGAACTGCTGTGAATTCTTTAGACTACCCCTGAATAGTTGTGAAAAGTAAATTAGCAGCATGCCAATAGGTTTGGATAAGCTACACAAGAGATGACACTTTCACTTGAAATTTTAAAGGTCAGCAAACTGGAAACTGCTGGATAGGGCCAGTGATAAGCCCTAGGAAGTAAGAATGGCTGGGAAAGATGCGACTAGACAGATCAATTTAAGTTGGTAGATAGTATCGCAAAAACAAATGAACGTAAAATGATAAATGTCTTGCTGAAAATTGGTGACCAAAGAAAAGATAATGAACAATAGGAATTCTTTTAACTCCATGTGGTGGGTTGACCCTGGCTGAACACCAGGTGCTCACCAAAGTCGCTCTATCGCTCCCCCATCCTCAACTGGACAGGGGAGACAAAAATATAAGGAAGAGCTCGTGGGTTGAGATAAAGGCAGGGAGATCACTCACCAGTTACCGTCATGGACAAAACAGACTCAACTTGGGGAAATTAGTTTAATTTATTACCAATCAAATCAGAGGAGGATAATGAGAAATCAAACCAAATCTTAAAAACACTTTTCCCCCACCCCTCCCTTCTTCCCAGGCTCCACTTCACTCCCGATTTTCTCTACCTCCTCCCCACCATCAGCACAGGGGGACGGGGAGTGGGGGTTGCGGTCAGTTCATCACATGTTGTCTCTGCCACTCCTTCTTCCTCAGGGGAGGACTCCTCACACTCTTCCCCTGCTCCAGTGTGGGGTCCCTCCCACAGGAGTCAGTCCTCCATTAACTTCTCCAACATGAGTCCTTTCTATGGGCTGCAGTTCTTCGCAAACCGCTCCAGCGTGGGTCCCTTCCACGGGGTGCAGTCCTTCAGGAACAGACTGCTCCAGCGTGGGTCCCCTGCAGGGTCACAAGTCCTGCCAGCAAACCTGCTCCAGCGTGG